CCCGAGAATCCCGAGAAGCCCGAAAATTTTATCTTTTCGGTTTCAAAGGTCTACCTTCGCAGAGCCCGGTTTTCAACGACGAAAGTCATATTTAGAGCCGAAGTACTGCCCAAATTAACATTTTAACCCCCAGTTATTTCATGGTGAGTTTAATATATAGAAATAATTGTATGTTATGTGTTATATGTGCTACGTGTTTTTCAGTGTTATTATTCCGGGTTATTTCCCGGGTTATTTTTATTTGCTATTTTTATATAGCAAAGAAATACCTTTGACCATGTGATCAATGAAAGGACTTAGATTCACGTTGGTATTGGTATGTAGCCTCTGTCCATGTGGAACATGTCTCCGTAAGAGAATGAATTATATTCTATGGTAGTGGCAGAAGGTTAGACAGGGCTATAAGCCTGAAATCTACCGAAATGTTAATCCGAAGTTGTATATATTCTGTGCCGTTTGGGCCAAAGCTTTATTGATGTATATCAAGCATGGAAATTGTTATGTCTCATTGATTGTATATCTTTAATTCAAATCAATGATTGATATGGAATGTTTGTCACATGATTCACATATGCCCTTGTTGTTCCTTGTTCCTCTTTGATTCTGCCCTTTTAAAGTATATATATGGCATAACGTTATATTGTATCTATTATTGAACTCACTAAGCGTCACCGCTTACCTTCTTGATGTTTAACAAATTGCAGGAGATGGACACCCAGTATATAGTTATATACTGGTAGAAGATTTTTGAATAGTTTGAAACTATTGTATCGATAGAAGCTTATGAATAGTTTGAAACTATTGTATTTTGCACTCCCATATGTATAAAACTATAGAATCCTGGGAAGTTATGTAATATATAACACTTTAAAATAGTCGGTTTGTATCCAGTAGTTTGTAATCTCTTTATCAATGTAAAATATTGGTTTTATGAATATGCAAATAGCATGTTTTGGAGTAACTATATTGTCAAGTATGAAGTTTGGGTCTTTCATAAATACGAAAGTTAGGGTCTTTCACGCACAAAGCATGACTACCTCAACACAACCAAACACAATATGTCGACATATAAACAATCATGATCAAGTAGGCACATAATATAGTTAAACAACAATCACACAGCTCACTACTACCTACTTATCCTCTCACAACATACAGTATCGATACCAGCTAGCCCCCATAGAATGTGTAACCATAAGTAACCAGAGGTGAGATAGCCACCCGAACAGATAGTCCTACTCTAGAGCCACAACCAAACAAGGAACAGACAAGAAAGCCTAGACCAAGAGTTCTCGGGCTATCCTATATAACCACCAATAGACCTTAAGGGCATTCCATAAATGATAACTAGCAAGCACAAATAACATACAATTCTACAGGTTATTACCACAAAGCAACATAACTAGCAAGCACATATAACATACAGTTCTACAGGTTATTACCACAAAGCAACATACTTCATACCATGAGACAAATATAACTAATCACTACAGCATATCATCATACTCAATACCAGAACACAGATCTAGTAGATCACTACAACATAACAACATCCTCAATACTAGAATACAAATCTAATATATCACTACAGCATAACAACATACTAAATATCAGCAATCTAATAAATGCATAACCGTATATACTCCTAGGTGAGATAGTCTACCGGACATGTGATCCTACTCTAAAACCAGAACCAAGAAAGGAACACGTAACAGAGCTTAGACCAAGAGTCATCAGTCTATCCTACATGACTATATACAATCCCTAGGGCATCCCTCTACCAGCATATAATCAATACTAGTGGGTCGGCATTGGTGCCTTCCACCCACGAGTATAGTGAGGCAAAACTCACCTCGATATGTGTGTAGATAACCACTATATCAATGAAGGACTCTATTGTCTTCAATTCACTTCTAGACACCTACACTAAGACACTTTAGTCAATACCCGATCACAACTCATAGTCACTTGCAATAGTGATCACCTCACATGATATGACGATTAAGGTTTCACATAAAATTACGATTAGGGTCAAGTAAGAACAATTAACCCATTAAGGACTTAGTCACTTAAGGGTATGACTGATTACAGTTTGACTTAATCGTTCTCGGGTGGAATAATAATCCAATCAATAGCCCAAATACATGCCCAATCATTGCCCAAAGTAAAGCTCCTCGATTCTAGGGTTTTTACATAAAGTGATAACTAGGGTTAGTGTTCCACACTTAACTCGTTAAGGACTTAATCCATTAAGTCCAATAGTGCATTAAGTTATTTGTAGAGATTTATTAAGTATTATTTTAAGTTTAATCAATAGTTCTAATGTAGGTCCCGACCAACTCCAAAACTAGGGTTTCTTGACATTAGGGTTTTCTAAACCCTAATTAGGGTTTCCAACCCCAAATGTTAAATAATAATCTAATTAAATAAATATATAATTAATAAATTGGGCACCATCCACTGCCACCTCGGGTAATGGTAGTCGGCGGCGATCCATGGCAGTAGGAGGCGGCAGCCACCTGCACACGGCGACGGTTTGAGTAATAGTTCCAACAATCCAAACCACATACAATTTATTACAACACACACACACACACACACTAGCACCAAAAGAATAAGAAAATGCCCATTATTGTAACTGATGAATCAATGAATCAAGTACAAAATGAATCAGAGTTTAATGATCAAAGTAAGATTGCGAGATTAGAACACAGATGTAAATAAGACTTTTCACTTCAGCTTTATTACACTTTCAAGTTTTACAGAGAGCAAAATGACTATTGTGTAAAAGACTCGTAACCATGACTCTAGTAAACACTCCTATTTATAGGAGAGGAAAGCGTACAAAAGATATACTAAGGACTAAACACTTTAAGCTTCGAATAAAACTGCCTTAGTAAAATACATTATACACCATACGAAGAGTACAAAAGACTTCGGCTCATTACAACTCAAAATACCCTTACAATCTCCCCCTTTGTAAACAGAGTTGAAGACTTCAATTTGTAAGAAGTTGAATTGAATACAACATAACTCTTCGTATTTTTGTATACCAGTTGATTATCTTTTTCAGCTCCTTTTTGTCTCCCTCATTATTCATCTTGCAAGGATTCATACGAACAATTAAGTTCGCATATTGCGAAGTTGAATACCTTTCTACTTCACTAGCTTGAAACAAAAATTTCTTATACCTTCCGAACTTGTCGTTCCCAAAAAATACTAAACCAAAAGATTTCAAGCAGATTTCCCCATCAGTATATTTCTTAAGTTCTGCTTGTGTCTTCGAAGGATTCATTGAAGCAGTGATTTCAAGACCCTTTGCTGTAGCTAACTCCACATATGTCATTGCCAGACATTCGTAATAATTTTCAATGAAGATTTTGATGTGAGTAACTCCCAGCTTAAACTCATCCAGCTTAGTGTTTTGTAGATAAGATAATGACATTTCCTTCAGAATTAATGCAACTTGTATAAGATCATACAAGTTCATTAATGGAAAGTCAGCAACTGTAAATTCACACACTTTTCCATTCTCCCTTACCACCACGTACTTCAAATTTTGGACTGTGTCTTCGAAGATCACATCCTTCTTTATACTTATTACTCTCTTGATCTTCGTCAAAGACCACACCAGCTCAACAGACTTTGCAAGAACAGCATGAAATCTAATCTTCATGTGTGTTCCTTCATCCTTCTCCTTAAATTTGCTTTCAGCTTTAAATCGAGGCATGATAAACATCATCTCACTTATAGGAAAATCCAGCTGGCCTACATCTGTATTTGTGACAAGGTAACTCTGCTTGAGCTTTTTCTCAAATGCATACATGTGTTTGAATGCAACCTTGGCTTCAATCGTTTTGTAATTATAATGTTTTGAAGGATCATCCTTATTCAAGCCCGGAAGGTCACTAGCCCTTTGAGTCATAATACTTTGTATCATTCTCATTTTTTCAACCTCAGCCTCATCCTCTGCTTTCTTTTCCTCTTTGGATTTTTCAATAAGAATCTCTTTACCTTTTGATTTTGAACTAGACTCAACAACATTATCTCTAGGCGTTGAAGCACTTCCATCAATATCTCCAGTTTTACCAATCACAATTCCTTTCGGTTTTGTGATCGGCACAGTTGTTACAACTATCAAGGTGATTTGACCAGCTGTTGCCATTATCAGTTTTGTTGTTGGAATTTTCGAAGAAAATACCTTGCCCACTATTTTCGAATCCTCTCCTCCAGTCTTCAAACCTGCATATATTTTTCTCCCCCTTGCACCCCTGTGACAGCAGGTGGGGCATAAGTAGTTGGAAGAAGACTAGAGATGCGTGACAAAAGGGCTAGGTGTAACACAAGTAATTCTTCAAATTTAGAAAATTTTTGGATCAGGTCTTCTGAAGATATCAAAGACACAGTAGGATTTGAAGATAGACTTTTAAGCTCCTTCAAGAGTTCAAACACCTCCTAAAAATTCTTGTTATCGTTAGTTGAAAGCTGAGTAATCTAAGGGCTCAGACTTTCGTATAACCTTGCAAATTTTGTAACTGCGTCACAAATAATATCCACCTTTTTGTTGATGGAATCAAACTCAGTTCGAACAACCGATATTTCTTTTCCATGTCTTCTCGTAGTTCCTAAATTTTGAAGTTCACATCTTCTCTCACCTTCTTTACATCTTGAACAAATAACACATGCCTCTCTTTCGCAACCATCTTCAATTCTTTCAAGTCAGATGCAAATCCAGACTTCTGAGAATTCACTCTTATTTCATTATTTTGATTGCAATGATCAATCTTCTCCAACAAACGAAACTCTAAATCTTTCAACATTCCAGAGACTTTTGTGGTTAATCTTCCTTCAAATAAGGACAACATGCCATCAACTTCAAGACTTGATACAGAATGACCTCCCCCAAGATCAGCTTGAGATTGAATAATCGAATTGAGCTTCGTATTCAAGATTTTGAACTGTTTCATCATCATTAGCATATGATCTGGGAAGTCTGTTTCCTAATCATCAAACTCCAAATTCTCAAAGGTTCCCCCAAAAATTTCAGACTCATTTTCTGTATCTATGAATGAATCTTTTATCGGAGAAGTAGTGGCTGGTGGATCAGTTGATTGTGAAGAAAAAAAAGATGTGAAAGGTTGTGAAATAATGTTTCCAAAGGTTGGAGAATCAGTTGTGGATGTTATAGGAACAATGGGAGTGATCTGTGTAGGTAAAGAAATGAAAGAATCTGAAACAACACTCGAAGGGTTACCTTTTGCTGCTTTATTCGAATCGTCCTCACCCATGATGACATTTGTATCCATATCAGATATGTTTACAGGGATGTCTGAAGTTCGTGCCTCCACACTAACTGTTTTAGCAAACAAAGCTTCGGGTGGTGTACTAACAGAAGTATCCAGTTGAGAAGAATCTTTAATCAAAGTTGCCTTAAGTGTCTCTGGAATAATTTCACCCTCATCTGCAGTAGATTCTGAGGAAAGAATCACCCTTCGCCGCTTTTTCTGTGAGATTTGTTTTTCCATGTCAGTAGCTATTCTCTTTTTCGAAGTCAGTGAAGCAGGAGCAGGTACTTCACGAAAAATTACCCCTTGATGTGAAACTTGAGGTTTGCAAACAATATTCGTAATAGAGGATCGTCCCTTACGCTTCGACTTCGATTTCATTTTGATTCTTCTAAATACACCAGTCTTCGAAGGAATAACTTCCTTTTTAGTTAACTGGGTATCAGTAATAATAGGCTCCGGTTGGATTGGCTCGACTTCAATAACAGGAACCTTCTTCGGACTTTTAGAAGAACTGGTTGGCTTAACCTTGGTACCCAAAGACCCAGCATCAGTTTTCTTCGACTTCTTTGACTTCTTCTCATTAGTTTCTGGCAAAAGAACACTTGTTTCCACGGAAGAATCTATTGATTTCAAATAAGTAATCAATACAGGATTTTTAGAATCAACTCTTTTCAGCATAGCATCAGGGATACGAGCAGCAAAAGGGAATACATCCGAGTCATCTGTAGCATCCTTCGGACACCCATAAGTGTGAAACATAGCTTTTTCTTCTTCTGCTGGAACTAAAATTCCTTCCTTTTCATATAAATATTGCAGAATTAAACTCCAATATCGAGCATCTGAAATTCCAAGAATAGCATTCGTGTTTTCGATACTCTTCTGGAACTCCTTCCATAGTTGTGTGGAGTAATCAACTTGAAGATCATAGTACAACCCATCAACCATGGCATACACCTCCATTCTTCCCTTATCTAGCCCAACCGTTCTTCCAGTTAAACACCAAAGAAAAATCCCAAATAGAAAATTCCATACACTTGGTAGCCCTACCTTCTTGAAATCACTAATGTTTGTCAATTTGGGTTGATAACCCATTTCATTGAACATATGTACGATTTGCGGAAAGGTAAAAGTAACATATGGTGGTGAATTAGGTATGGCAAGGATTTGGCAGAAAATCTTCTTTAATAATCTAACATTTTTATCATTGATGAGGTTGAATGTAACAGCTTCCAAAGCTTTTGAATAAGTTGCAGTTGAACCGACTTGAGATAAACCAAGAAAGAGGAACAGAAAATGACTTGAACATGGCCTTTGATAATACCAAGTTTTGCACAGTAACCACCAGCATTTTCAATTCTTCAGGATACAGAGAAACATTTGATTCAACCTAGTATTTAGTACCCTGAATCTTCATGATCGACAGAGAAGTAACATCATCAGTTGTGTGAGAAAGAGTAGCATCAGGAATTGCAGTCACCATTTTTAGGGTTTGAAAGCAGATGATTATCAGAGAAACTTTAGTAAGATGACAGCGTAAACTGATAATGAACCCTTGAATCCCCTTTTATATGTAACTCTTAAATTTGAAATCAAAGCGGGATATGCATTTAATACATGCTGGCATGTCACCGAGAAAAGCGCATCATGATGATGATAAAGTAACCATGCATCAAAAAGTAACTGTCACATCGCCTGGAAAATCGGAAGTAATATAAAATGTCTCCTCAAACAGCCTATATTTATTGACCCAATGGAATTGTAACCGTCAGAACCCTTAGGATGGAGTTAGGCTCTTTCACTTTGGGATGAAAAGCAAAGTCATATGCGAGATGTTTGAAATCATCAGCCTGAGTTGGTGTTACTCAGAACCTCAAGGATTTCGTGAGTGCAGTGTTCCAAATAAAGTAAGACAAGAAACAATGAAATAAAAATTTTGTGATTCTGTGATGTCAAAAAGTTAATTTGACACGAATGCAGTTAAACCCCGTGCAAAGGTTGTTTCGTTAATTATCAAGACAAATAATCAACAGCTTGTGTAGTTTCCTGTGAATTACAATCGAATACTTGTAAATAAGTATCGAAGGGCTTCTTTTTCAAGGTTTCAATGGGTGGCATACAAATTTCGTTACATATCAGTCTTAATATAAGGTGAGTAACTGTAACAGAAATTACTTGTTTGACCAGTGTAGTCAGTAACAAATGTGCTTTGAAAAATATTGAATGTAACTTTGGAATTCGAAGTAAACTCACACAAAAATCATATTCATGAAAAAAAATTGTCCTGGATCTTGTTGGGTAACAAACACCGTGGGTTTCGAATGTTTGATCAAGATCACTCATATGAAATGAATATGATTAGGAGTTTTGAAAATAGGTACTGAAACAAAAGTTTTGTAAAGTCTGGAACATAGTTCCCCGTCAATTCCTTAATTTGCAAAAAATTTAGGTTTCACTTTCATCATGGTCTCATGATGTTAGATCATTAACACAATTTGTTAATATGTCTAAGTCTCGATTGGTTTGATCAGAGACCTCTTGGACATATGTCTTCGTGTGTGATTGTGAAAGAAATTTTAGATGAAAAAGATTAGTGAAGATCTGAAGTGTACCTCTGTTATATTTAGACAAAACAGTAAACTCTTTACTCATATAAGAAGATTCAGGTAGCTCATGAGACTAATGTGAATACAAGCCTGATTGGGAAGAAATTTTCGTATGAAAAGTTCATTAAGGATTTCGTACACACACATTGAGTCATTGGAGGCTTTGGACAGCATGCAACAGCATGCCTCTAGGGACATCTTAACTAGTTCAAAGTAAATTAAAATTAAAGAGTTGAAAGATTCATTTACCTGACCCTAGATCTGCAAGCATGTGCCTCTTCATCCATTCAGAAAGATCTGCAACAAAGTACTTAAAAGAAGAATATATATATATATATATATATATATATATATATATATATATATATATATATATAATCTTTTTGTTGTTTTGAATTTTCAAAAATAAAAAAAAATAAAATGAAATTCTTTTTGATGTTTTTGATTTTTCGGAAATGAAGAACAAAAGAAAATGAAAATATTTTTGATGTCTTGATTTTTCGAAAAGAAAGAACAAGAACAAAATAAATGAAAGTACTTGTTGTAAACCTACGAAGTTTTAAGATGTGATGAAAGATACCAATCATACGAATTCGAAGCATTCGAAGAGTGACTTATGAACAGTAACCTTATCCGTTGATGACGTATCTGTGAATTATTATTATCGAAACTTCAATCTCCTTGTTCGTATGAAATTGAATTACCATCAATCATTCCAAGTCCTTCCAAAATCCTCCCAAACGATTTTTCATCCAATGCTTTTGTGAAAATATCAACCAACTTATCAGTTGTTTTCACAAAATAAACTTCAATATTCCCATCCTCTACATGATCTTTTATGAAGTGATAACGAAGAGCAATGTGTTTGGTCTTCGAATGTTGCACAGGATTATGATAAATTCTTATTGCACTTTGTGAATCACAATATAAAGGAATCTTTTTCATATTAATTGCATAATCACGTAATTGACTTTGAATCCAAATTATTTGTGAAGTGCAGGCTGCAGCAGCAACATTGTAACATCCCCAAATACGACCCAAAAATTTTTGTTTAATAATTACTGAAAACATCATGTCAATATCATAAAATAAAACCCATACGTCAATATCTCAAAAACATAGAAAAGTATCACGAGAAAACTGTATCAAGACTGTATCAAATCACATCTATGAAAAGCTAAAACAACTCCATGGACAAACTGAAGCTGTGGTGTGTGCGATGCCATCAACCCGAGCTCTTCCCTTTACTTGCGGAAGTACCTGAAACCAAAACTGAAACTGTAAACACAAAGCTTAGTGAGCTCCCCCAAACTACCACATACCATACAATAACATATAACACATACTGGGCCTTTCCCACTACATCGGACCGAAGTCCGGAAACTGCATCATACCGAAGTCAGGAACTAACCAAGGCCTTGCCCTCTGCATCAGACCGAATTTAAGGACTAACTGCATCGGACCGAAGTCCGGAACTAACTACATCAGACCGAAGTCCGAAAACTAACTTAGCATAACATAGCATATCATAAACATATCAACTAGCATGAACACATAAACTGCATACTACATCGGGTTGTAGCCTCGAACACATAACACATAAACACTGTTTGAGCCACGAAGGCATCAAATATTCTAACTACTGCATCGGACCGATGTCCGGAAACTACTACTAATTAAACGGGCCGGCATTGTGGTCTTATACCCGTTCCTAATGGAAGGAAACTCACCTCGTGATGCTGACTGCTGAACTCCTGAATGAGAAATCCCTGACTACTGCTCCGGCTGCTTCCCAGCTATCATGGGAAACAAAATACTAAACTAGAATATGGATTCCTTTATGGGTAGAATGACCATTTTACCCCTACTATGGTGTGGGTCACAAACATGGCCTAAATCCTTAATTCCTTCTAAGTCCATCCATGGCCCCATTATAGGCCCACTAATGGCCCCATTCGTTATATTGGGCCTAGAACCCTTTTATTGGGCCTTACTCAAGCCCAATACTAAATCCTTGGTAATATCCTTAGCAACTGAATTCTGATGGTCCATAAAGGCCCAAGGACCCTAAGCCTGAAACCTAGCCCAAACTGAGGCCCAACACTCGAAACCCAACACCAAGGTACGCTGAGCGTACTACCTGCTGGCTTGTACGCGGCGCGTACTTCCTTGTATGCCCAGTTTACAGCTTTGTTAAGCCAACATCTCATTAAGTGCTTAATAATCCGATCCAGAAGCTACAAATCCAGATCCTAAGCTTATTCCATGACTTAAGCCATAAAGTTGCTTACGTGATGGCTTACAAGTCTCATAAAGGCTCAAACTTCCACAAATAACATTCTACTTCCATAAAGCTAACTAGATCTCATGCATGGTTCCATATAAGCCACAAAGATCGAAACTTTACTGCTATGGGGACACTTGAGCTTCAAGGATAGCAATCCCAAGCTCCAAAAACGAAGTTGCAAGATAAAGGTCCTTCCTTTGGACCTAAAAGGTCCAAACTTCCAAAAACTCCTAGATTCAAACTTACAAGAGGAAGGTTGGAAGCTTTATACCTCTTTTGAATGCCAAATGAAGGAATGATCCCAGATCTATGAGCTCAAGGTGCTCAAGTTCTTCTTCTTCCACTTCTCTTCTTCTCATTCTTTACAAAAACAAGCTCAAAGATCAAACACACGCAATCAAGGAGCAAAGGGGACAAACTAGGGTTTCTCTGGAGTGAATGATAAGTGAGGAGGCCAAATGGAAGGCTATAATGGGGTTTAAATACGCCTCAACCCTTAAAATTAGGGTTTGCCACCTGGTCGCGTACGATGCGCATACGCTCAGCCTCCCCGCATTTCATTTAAGTAGTACGCCCAGCGTACAAGGGGTTACGCCCTGCGTACGGCTTATGGGCTGCTTACACCTTGACCCAAAATAAAAGACCCACTCTCAAGAACAAATCAATTATATCCCAAAATAAACGGAAGAATTAAATAAATTTATACCTCGGAAACGATCATTACAAATCTCCCCCACTTGAATCAGACTTCGTCCTCGAAGTCTGCTGCTACTGAATCTGAAAATAACTCTGGGTAATGCTCCTGCATCTCCTCCTCTGATTCCTACGTCCACTCTGAACCCTTCCGGTGTTGCCACTGCACCTTCACTAGCTGAATTACCTTATTCCTCAAGGTCTTTGTCTTTCGGTCCAGAATCGCGACCGGTCTATCAATATAATTCAGGATGCTATCAACCTGAATGTCCTCTAAGGGAACAATTGCTAACTCGTCCACCATACACTTCCTCAACTGGGAAACATGGAAAGTGTTGTGGATCTTGCTAAGCTCTGCCGTAAGATCCAACTGATAAGCAACCCGACCCACCCAGGCCAAAACCCTAAAAGGACCAATGAACCTGGGGCCCAACTTGCCCCTCTTCCGAAACCTGATGACACCCTTCCAGGGTGATACATTCAGGAGGACCATGTCGCCTACCTAAAACTCCAAGTCCCGATCGCCTCCTGCCGGCGTAACTCTTCTACCGACTCTACGCAGTCTGCAGCCTACTGCGTACCTACTGGATAAACTCTGTCGTCATGAGCACCACTTCGGTGCTCCTAATGACATGCTGACCGACCTCGCCCCAACAAATCGAGATCCTACACTTCCTCCCATAGAGCATCTTGAAGGGAGGGCGGTCAATACTCGCATGGTAACTGTTGTTATACGAAAAATTCCGCTAACGGAATATACGTATCCCAACTACCACCGAAATCTAGGATACATGCCCGGAGAATGTCCTCAAGGGTCTGAATCGTCCTCTCGCTTTGTCCGTCCATCCGAGGGTGGAAAGCGGTACTGAAATGGAGACGCGTACCCATCTCGTCATGCAACCGCTTCCCAAAATCTGGAAGTAAAACGGACATCTCGATCTGACACCACTGAAACAGGAACCCCATGCCGTGACACCACCTCTCGTACATAAATATCAGCTAGCTTCTCAGCTTATACACTCTCCTGGTTCGGTATAAAATGAGCACTCTTCGTCAACCGATCCACTATAACCCAAATCGCATCCACTCCTCGTGCGGTCCTAGGAATCTTAGTGATGAAATCCATGGTGATATCCTCCCATTTCCACACAGAAATGTCTAACGGCTGCATCTTGTCGTGAGGTCTCTGGCGCTCCGCCTTAACCTTCCTCCAGGTTAGGCATCTTTCCACATACCAGGCCACATCCCGCTTCATGCAGGGCTACCAATAATCGGGTCTAAGATCTCTATACATCTTTGTTGCCTCTGGATGGATGGAGACTCGAGACTTATGAGCCTCGTCCATCAGCACTTGTCATACTCCGCCCGAGTACGGCACCCAGACCCTCCCCATGAAGGGTCAACAATCCTCGACTATCATAGTCAAAGGAAGCTACTCGGCCCACGATCCTGTCGCACTTCTGTCTCTCCTCCTTGAGGCCCTTGGCCTGAGCCTCTTTAATTTGCTCCAGCAATGGAGTAATCATTGCCATCCTCAAACAAATGTCTCTGATTGGGGCTGCTGCTACCTTGCGGCTCAGGGTGTCGGCCACTACATTGGCCTTCCCTGGGTGATAAAGGATCTCACAGTCGTAAGCCTTCAGCACATCTAACCATCGCCTCTACCTCATGTTCAGATTCAGCTGGGTCCATGAGGTACCTTAAGCTCTTGTGATCTGTGTAAATGGTACAATGGACCCCATAGAGGTAGTGTCTCCAAATCTTAAGGGCAAACACCACTGCCCCCAGCTCTAAATCATGCGTGGGATAGTTAGCCTCGTGAGGCTTCAACTGTCTCGAGGCGTAAGCTATCACACGTCCTCGCTGCATCAACACTGCTCCCATACCTGCGATTGAAGCATCACAGTAGACTACAAAATCCTCTACTCCCTCTGGTAGGGTAAGAATCGGAGCCTCACACAATTTCTGCCTGAGGGTCTCGAATGTTGCCTGCTGCTCAGGCCCCAAGCAAAACACCACCGACTTCTTAGTCAGTCGGGTGAGCGGTACAGCTATCTTGGAGAAATCATGTATGAATCTCCTGTAGTACCCTGCTAAATCTAGCCTCTATCTTGGCCGGATCTACCAAAATACCCTTCTGGTTGACGAGATATCCAAGGAACTACACCTCGCGCAACTAGAACTCACACTTGGAGAACTTTGCAAAAAGTCTCTCCCTCCTCAAAATCTCTAGCACCTCTATCAGTTGCTCCTCGTGCTGCTCCTGAGTCTTGGAATACACCAAGATATCA